TTAAGCGTACTTGGCAGGCGTCTATAGGATGAGCATCCTGATTACAAATCCCATCCAAAACATGTTTGCTCTTGCATGTTGCATGTGGCAGTAGCGGAGGCTGTTTTATCTCTGTAAAGTCGTGCTGACACACCCAGATGCTGGCTTTTGGTGCGAAGTCTCGAAGCTGCAAAATGGCCTTTTAGACGAAGAAATGACTCAAATCGTAAATTGGCGATGAAACAATTCATCCTTAGTTAATTCTCTCCTTGGCATTTTAGAGACCAAATGAATGCTTTACCGATAAAAATAATCGAGCGGCTGTGACCTGTAAAACCAACTCGTCAAATATTTATGCCAAGAGGTCTTTGAGAACCGAACTCGAGTAATATTAATGCAGTCAAGAGGACGATTATATCAACTAGTTATATTTGATCTATCATTAAATTTCCTCCAAATTCATCACAGATGACAGAGTTTAATTGCCCGAAAGTCTTACAAAATTCTACACAAGCTTATGGCACGTGAAAGAGTACTACTAACTCTGATGGACAGAAATTTATCTGTCAGACACCACAAGTTTATGCGACAAACACCAACTTCAAAATGTATCCTTTTGAGACTGCTCCTCTTCTAGCGATAAGGGAAAAATGAGTAAAATCCGCCTTCGTCACCTGTCGTTCTAAAGGTAGGCACTTAACCTCATTCTCCAAGACGCTTGCAAGACCTGCAATCGTGTCAAGGGCGGAAAAAATTTCCTGTTGCCACAGCACATTTGCGTTTGGTGAATCACCAGTCGTGCCCACACATGAATTCCCTTCATTTGCCCGAGTGAATGTAAACACTGACGTTGCCATGACCCCAGTTAGTGGTGAAGTGGAGATAGGGGATCTCCGTTTTATGTGTCGTGGAACTAAAACCCTTTAATTTCGGAGTAATCACAAGCGGAAGACAAGCGGAGGACTATCTCCTCCTAATGCTCCTAACGTAATCTTCCTGCCATATGAAGACACAAATGAGGTTGTAATGTTAAATCAGTTAGTAAGTAAAATGAATTAAAAAACACTACTGGTTCTGCTTTCCTATGCTTTATTGTGATTATGAACCTTCGGTGATTCATTCGCAAGATGTGATTAATATCAAATGGTAGACCCTTGCGCAATTTTCACGTTACAAAAAGTTCAGTTTCGCATACAACATTTGTTAAGAGGTGAACAGTCTCCCATCTTAGTAGCCCCCAACTCCTCTATAAGCTTGAAGTAGTTTCATTCTTACTATTGCTCCAAATAATACCTAAATTGACCTCTTCAATGGTTGTATCACATTTGACCCTAGACAAGTCCAGTGTCCTCGCACGACAATTGCTTTCCAGCCTCCAACAAAGCTACCAAAACTCACTTTGAGGGACATTTGGACTGCCTGGTTTAGCACAGCCTCTGCTTCAACAGCAACTTTGTCTCGCAATGTCGACAGCATGGGGAGATTCTCAAAGTCGGGATCGTAGTCCTCATTAGCATCGGCTATAGTGGGGTTCAAGGGATGGAGTTGACGTGGTCTTTGGAGAGGCGAATTAAAAACGTCGGAAGGAGAGTCGGTAGTGCTGCTGTTGCTGTTGCCATCTGCGCTGCGCACACGGCTAGTGCGACGACGCTCGATCACCTGTACGCGTGGCGGTAGAGAAACTGTGCTCCTCAGCCATCCAGGGGAGATATATTGCGCCACATAGTAGCAGAACGCTGCCTCCCATATTGCTGGGATAAGATGTTGTGAGGCCAGCTGAAAAGCGCCCAAAAACAGTTATCGCATTAGCGATTAGACTTTCACAATGTTGGCATTGAGGCCTTCCCACACTGCTGCTTTTAAAACCGCATAATGAGTAAATTGTTCGTGTGAAAGTCTGTTCAGTGGGTAACATCAGCATGAAAATTAACATCTACTTATTGCCGTGGCAATGTGAATCCAAAGCGCTCCATTTACTCATCGTCATATTGGTAATTTACAACTAGGCCGTGGATTCCCTCCCGGCCAACCTCAGTCTTAATCTAAGCTTTGATGATTTCAAAAGACCTTCTTCACTTCTGGTTGTAAATAAGTTACTTGGTTGTTCCGAAATGGTATACATAAATGTGGTGCACAAAATCGCCCTTTGCTTTCTCTAGTAAATGATTCAAGAGTGCCACAAAGACTCTGTAGGCCGTTGAAGGAGTGAAAAGATTTAACTGCCTTTACGACATTTAATAAAAGCAGTAGAATGTTGAATATAGTGAGGAGGTTATAGAAAGTTGGAGACATGAATGCACTTCAAGTCTCCCACGGATGAAGCGAAATCACTTCTGACGACACTTTAATCCCAAACTCGATCTGTGATTCTATATATATACGCTTCATGATGGCCACCCTAAAATTAATAAAGATGAAATCAAATGAATCCAAAATGGAATTAATACTTCCCTGAATCTTTGCCACTCTCAGATCGTGAAGTTGATGCCACCTTACAAGCGGTGTAGATGTTGCCTCCTCGTCTCTCTCTTTCACTTTCATTAAGAAGACTTCTCTCAAACCCAAACCACCTCAACCAAAGCAGCAAATTCGATCACACCCCTTTCAAGCTCTTCAGCTTTTCTTGAAACAGTCTGTGACGTAATAAGCAACTTACGAATGCTTGTAATTTGGATTGCCAAAGGAGAGAGAACTAACCCCATATTTAACAAATAATTTGACACGGTTCGTGCCTTCGTGCTAATAAACGAATTCAGTGGAATGATTGCAGCATTTTAATAGTCGTTGACGCCTAGAGAAAAGTTTGCTTAGGCCTCCTTTGAAAATGAATGATACCAGTTGACGTGTTTACCGAAAGTCGACGGGGTCATCTAAAATTGACAGATCCTAGGCATGTATTGCTGTCATTACCTCGTAAGCAAAGCCTGCTTCTAATTGTGAATTTGAATGTCTCAATAAATCGTGCCAACAGCAATTATTTAGGCCATTTTGTTTCTACAACGAAAATAACGCTTTTGTAGAGAGCGCTTTGATAATCAAGGCAAAACCATTTGCTTCTTAACTGGTACTTTATCCCACGTGGCACAATGCAATTGCCGGATGGGGGTGGTGAGGAGAGATGGTGATTGTCAAAGAGCTCAAGCCATCCCCTACACGTGCCATGCCTCAAAACTGATGCGAAGCTTCTGCAGCCACACCCTTGAAAGTGCCTTCAAGGCAGCCCGGGAAGTCGACAAACCCCAACATTTACGATATGATGATAACATCCAACGAAGGCACAGGAGAGCACAGTAAAGTGTCCTAGTTTGCATCATTCAGCAAGTGATATCGGTGGCTCAAGACAAGGGTCTACAGCTCGACAAACGAAAGTGCTGCAATCTTATGCTCCATGAGAAGAGAGATAGAGGCGCATACCTTAATAAGAGAATGTGAGTAAAATCAATGTGACATGAACCTTCTGCTACCACTTGACACAATCGAATGCCTATTTAGGCGTGGCTACGTGAATAACACCTACCTATCCACGCAGTTGAGGGGAAGTCAGTAGCAGGACTTTTGAAATTCCGCTACGTTGTTGATGAAAGAACTTATCTGCCTCTGCTGCCCCAGTCTTATGCGTCTGGCACAATGAAAAGCGAGTGTGCTTAACGAGACAGTGCTTCACGGAGGTGGTTGGCGTCGAGAGATGTGTCTGTGTCTACAACACCATAGCTAATTCAAAGTTTTCACCTCTGAACAAACACTCAGTCGTTCTCCTCTCTGTTTTAGTATGACAAAACTATAAAAAATTATAGACACCATCAACCTTTTCGGTCTGTTTTACTTTGCACTGTGCTTCAAAAATGGCTAAATAAATTGCAAGTCCAAAGCACATTTCACTCATCCAAGCGGAATGGAGTTTTGATATACCACTGCTCGAATGCACATTTGCAATGGGATGCAACGGAACTCTAGTCTCTTCAGAGATGTAGGCCTTGCCCACTTAGACGAAGTAACTTCGGTCGAGGCGTCCCAGGTGAAGAGTCCCTTTGTGATTGTTGAGTTTTGGCATATTTGGTACCTTCCTTTTATGCAGATAGCCGGGGCGAAGAAGCAAACAGTGAAAGTTCATAACTGCGCATGCCAACAAGGTGAGTCAGATGTAAACTTACACCTCTCTTTCACGATCTCCGCCCCAGACGAAGTAACTTATTTACGCTCTTATTTAGTTTGAGAAGCTACGTTTTCGCATTAACAAGTCTCTTATCTTGGAGGTTAACATGCTGGTTGCGCAACTCTAGATTCAATTTTGACGAGTGCGTACGCCTGTGAAAATACACAGCCAATCACCTTCAAGGTGCTCTGAGTAATGAGGGTGCCGAAGGCCCTCAGAGAGGTGGACCTCCTTGATGTTAGAGGCGCTATGTTAAGAGCAGCCTACCCCAACGCCACGACATTTCGAAGTGTGATGAATATTAAGCAAATGTTCTATGTTTTCCCACTTCTATTCGATTAGCATTACCACTTTTCCCAACGGTCTAGAAAGCTCTCTTCCTTTACTAAAACGGAGATGAAATATCATTGAAATAATGAACCTGAATGTGCTGTACATTTATTGGAAGCTGTGTCCAAAAACGGAAAGCATTAATGAGTGTGACCTTGGAAAACGTTTAAAGTACATCCAGGCAACTGACTTTTAGCCATGGTCCCATCCCTCATTAGGAGGTCAGTCGCAAAATGTCGTGCAAAATTATGCTAAAACTGATGATTGCACAGCACCCCAAAGGAGCGCTTGCGAAATGAGAAGATGTTCAAAGAAAATGAGATCAATGTTGGTTGTAGGCTTAGGAGTGAAAATAGTGTAAAGTAAGCTCTTCCTTTATTAAGCTTTACTTTTGCCCAGATAGGTAGTTTGATTTTAAATGGGCAATATTTAAATAAAACTAAATTCGGATCATATTGTCAAATTTGCAATTGGAAAATTTGGCAGAGGGACAATGGAATCGTCAGAATGATTCAAGACAGTCGTCAATTCTAAAGGATACTTACTAGCCAAGCTTTACCGCTGGGTTCATAAGACCTTATGCTGAAAGCACTATAAAAAAATATTTCTAACTTCAAACCGATTTGCACTTCATTCACTCCACTTATAGATTGCAATTAGAATTGACGTGAAATGAAATCCTCAGGCAATAACGCCCTAGTCGAATTGCTCATCACTGACGTCATCAGAGAAGGTCAGTAAGGGTCAGGCAAGCGGCGGCATCTGCAGCTGAAAAGCAGACTGTAAGGCCACTGAGACTTGCGTTACCTTGCTCTCACATTCATTTAGACTGACAAATAACTTCGCAAGCACACAACGAGACACCACCTCAAGAGACGTACAATAAGTTATCTCACATGCATGTGTGCGGTTGGAAGAGCTGTGAAAGTTAACAAGCGCCTTTAGGACGACCAAGCCAAAAGGGAATCACTTGAGCAAACAGACGCTTCCATATGGTAATCACCAAGACAGATTTACTTTCTGTGATACCCAGATCTCCGATTGCAACTACATTTGGTTTGTATCAAAAACGGCAGTGTCCACGGCAAAAAGATATTTGATGCTCCTAGTCAATTTGCATATGTAAGAAGGCAACCACCCGTTGGATGCAAAAAGGGTGCTAGTGCCTCGATTTTACTGGATCAACTTTTTATCTTGTGTGGAGAAAAAATAAGCAGAGAGGAGATATTCCTGAACGCTTCAAGGCGTGTGAATTAAAATCCTCAGACTGTACTCCATTTTTCGTTTCATCGCCTGACTTTCAAGTAAAATTTAGAGGGGACTTGGCTGAAAGATGTGAACCTCAAGGCAGGGATTGGAGAGAGGGCAATTACGAAGACCATAAAGGTGCATCCCCCATTGCCTCTAATTTGAGTTTGATGCTATCGCATTACCGACTCTCCATTCAGCATGGGAACGTGACTCAGAGTACACTAATGGATTCCCTAACTTCCGAGCCACTTGGATATTAGATTAATAGAGTCACAGGCAATTAGCGAAATTACCAAAACCCGTAATGGCTTGTGGGATCAAAAGGTCCTGCGTTTAGCGCCTTATCCACTGCAAGGACAGAGAGGGAGAGAAGAGTAAAGTAATGCTCCTGCCAATTAAACGTACGTTCAGTTTTAAGTTGAATCTGTTCATGAAGACGCCTCCAAAAACAGATTTTCTGCTTATCTACGCCTAGTAGTTAAAGGTTATGATCAAAGAAGCCCAGTTCCAGGTGTCAAGTCAAACGAACGCATTGACACGTGATTCGATCTAAGAAGTGGCGTAAAGGATGAGATTGGCTTTCTTTATTGGATTTTAATAACCCCCCCCCC